ATAATACACATTTCTTCCCCCTAGTTGTGTCAGCTTTGGCTGATGAATTTAAGACTGAGCTCAGCTTGGCAAATGGCCCTCCTCTGGTCAAGCCAGTTTATTCCAAAGCTGGTCTACAGTGTGCAGCTGAACTCCAAGAACATCTCTACCCAGGTATCATATTTGTTCTGGATTTCTTTCTTAATTTAAGCTTTTATTTGACAGAACTTCAAGGAAGATAGCATAATCTAAATATCAGATTTTAGGCAAAGCACTGTTAGGGTGATTTTAAAAGGTGGAGCTGCTCCAAAAATGTTGATTTCCCTGATTTTTCAGATGCTTTGCTGTCTTCTCCTATTTTTGCCACTAAGTACAATCTGTAATGCACACAGTTACTGAGAATACACCTGGACTCCGAGGGCTTTGTGCAATGTCTGACCACTGTTACGCTCAAAAGTCTTCTTGGAGAAAAAAGAGAGACAGAACAATTTATTTTGAGCATAACTGAAATCCAGTTAATGATTCACTTTGATGAGCTCATGGTGTAACATCTCCCCCTAGTAACTGCTGTCTTGAGTAAATGATTTACTGTGTTTTGCTTTTTTAATTTTTGATTACTTTTTTTTTTCTAGTGGGTTCTAATGAAATCAAATGGAAGCCAGAAACCATCTGCACTGACCTGTTCTCAGAGTACCCTGGATTAGAGGATTTAATGAGAAAACAACTCCGTGGAGTTACCCAGGGGGTACTGATATTTTCAAGGAGTTGGGCTGTTGACATTGGCTTGCAGAAAAACCAGGATGTTGTGTGTGATGCTCTCCTAGTAGCTGACAGTGAGTATCCAGTGTTGTTTACTGTGGTCAGGGACGCCTCGTGTGTCACGTCTGGAACCTGGAGAGAAACTGCTCGTGCCTTGAAGCAAAAACTAGTCAATGATGGGGGATATACTCCAAGAGTGTGTGTGATTCCCCAGATCCTGCAGCTGAATGGCACAGAGGACCAGACAGCAGTTGAAGAGAATGAGGTTCCTTGGCAAGAAACCCTGCATGATTCCACCAGCCCTTACCCAAAGAGTTACATCCTCACCTCCAGGGACATCCCTGCCTTCCTGCGGGCACTTGTGATTGTTGTGCTGGGCTTTAAGTCCTACTTAAGTGACCATCTTGGCTGTGAGATTTTCAACCTTCTCACTCTCAAACAGTATGAGCTGCTCTCCAAGAACCTGCACAAAGTCAGGAAGCTGTTTGTCCTTGGTCTTCCTGGGACAGGAAAAACAGTCGTGGCTTTGAAGATCATTGAGAAAATAAAAAACACTTTTCACTGTTCTGCGGACGAGATACTTTATATTTGTGAAAATCAACCCTTGAGGGATTTTGTCAGGTAAGTAGTAATGTGTATTTCCTCTTTATATTATCTCATTCCTCCTCTGTGCCTACAGCACAAGCCCTGCTGAATTTACCTCTCTTTGACAAATTTATAGCTTTGCCTGACACAAAGACACAACCTTCATCTCCAGGAGGGAGTTCACGCTGAAGGTGGGATTGAGCTGAGCTCTGGCCCAGATCCAGCACTCAGTGACGGCAGTGAGCATTCCATGTTTGGGGATTGCAGGACTGTGTTAGAGCTTCCAAAGACAGTGCCCTCAGTGTAATGGTCTGTTACAGCTGGTGCCGACCTCAAAAGTGCCCCCGTCCCTTTCTCTGCTGCTGCCTCAGCACTGTCTGTGCTGGGCCTGCTCAGAGTTCTTGTGCAGCCGTGCCAGGAAGAGCCCTTGGAGCTTGTCACAAGGAGAACAGAAACTAACACCCTGCTTGGAGAGGATTTGAGGCAGAGCAGTCCCCCAGCCCTGCTCTTGCTGCATTTCCTCCCGTGCCAGCACGGGGAGCTCAGCAGCCGCCAGGGCAGACAAGGCCCAGGACATCAGGGAATGCAGCCCAGCTCAGTGCCCCGGCAGCAGGTCCTGGCCCCAGCAGGCAGCAGAAGTGCTGCCAGTCCCTGCTGACCCCAGGAGAAAAGGGAACCTGTCCTTCCTGCAGGAACCCGGGCACCACAGGAGAGCAGGGCAGAGGGACACCCTGGGGAGCCTTCCCATGGGGGCCGTGGAGGCAGGTGGGCCTGAGCCTCCTCCTGGGGTACATCCAAAGGTGGTGGGGTCTGCTCAGCAATGCCTACACACAGCCAATGCCTTGGAATCAATGTTTCCATGGGGAAAATGACACAGCATGGTGCAGCTGAGACGGGCACTTTGGCATTGTCCAGCAGGATGAGCCCTCCAAGCAAGAACCCCCAGAGAGATGGAGGCAGTCAGTAAGGGCTGGTCACATCTGCTGTTTATTTAAAATATTCTTTTTTTGGGTTTGTTTCATTTTTCGAAGAAATAGGAACTGCCAGGCTGTGACACGTGCTGCCTTCCTGGAAAAGGACTTCCCACATGTGAAACACATTGTGATTGATGGAGCTCAGAATTTTCGTCGTGATGAAGGAGATTGGTACCAACGCGCCCGGTCAATAGTTGAAAGAAGTGGTGGCATTTTCTGGGTCTTTCTGGATTTCTTCCAGACCACTTACCCATGTGACTGTGGTCTTGACTTTTCAAAAATGGATCCTCAGGAATGGCTGACCAAAATGGTCCGGAATGCCAAGGAAATATGGTGTTTCATGTTAAATCTAATGAGGAAAATCCACCGAACACGTAACATTGGTATACCCTATGAAGTGCTGGGAGAGTTGTTGAAACAGGCTGAATGTGCCCATTCTTTGCCAGGGTCCTTTAGACAACACAATATAAGACCAGATGAATTGGCAAAGTCTGTGGCTGAGCTCTGCAAGAGCTACCTCGATCAAGGCTATTCCCTCGGAGATATGGCCATCCTGTGCAGCAGACAGTGTGAAGCTGATCAGTTCAGAGAGAAACTGCCATCTGAGCTAGAAAGACAACTAAGGAAGCGCAGGGTGAGGGGGGCTTTGGGGTTAGCAGAGGATGTTTCAAAAAATGTCATTGTCCTTGACAGCATCCGACGCTTCTCCGGCCTAGAAAGGACGATTGTCTTTGTCATCAACCCTTACACTCCAATAGAGCACATATTTGACAATCTTGTGCTCTGTGCAGTGTCCAGAGCCAACACCAAAGTCCATTTGTTTTGTTAGAAGGAAAGATATTTTTAAGAGGACAGTTTCTATGGCTCTAGACGCTGGAAAGTTTCACTCATTTAGGTGATATCAGTGACATCAGAGAGCAGCCTGGCAGAAACTCAGCATCACAATCAGCGATTGCAATGGGTCACCGAGATTTCCTCATTCTAACAGGACTCCTGAAGGGTTCAAGTCCACCAGCTGCTGCAACAGAGTGTGTTGTTGACAGCCCAGTTCTTACTGTCATGACAAATGTGACATCAGCAGTGTGACTCCTAAAACTCTGATTGTCAAAACCTTGTTGAGAATCTACCACCTAATTACATCTTTTCTTCCTGTCTCAGTTTCCGATTGTTGCTGCAGCTTTGCCAATATCTGTCTGTAACGTGGTGTCTATAATTGCCTACTCTGACATTAGATTTCTTACAGCTGGATAAACAGTGACATAATAATGTCATACTTGCCCAGGGTGGAAAAAGAAAAAAGAAAAGGTTTTTGATGGAGGCTTTTGTACAATTTTCAGCTTTCTGCTTCTCTGTAATAAAAGGCTTTTTCTGACTCTGAGATCTCTCGTATTTATGTGGCCAGCGTTCCAGATCAGAAAATGGGAGGGCCTTGCAAGGGCCAGTGTTCCTGGACTAATAGACATTTCCAATTAATTGGAAAGGAGTTTCAGCTGCAGGGGAAATGTGGGGGACCCCTCTGTCACAGAGGCTGGGAGATGGAATATAGGGACCCCCCTCAGGTGGAGGTCTGGAGGGTCTGAGATGCAGAAGCCGCCGGTGCCG